GTTTACACAAAACTGCAACCAGAATCGCTGTTTCTCCTCTTGACCAAAAAAGCGAGCCACCCAAAATGCAACCTCCTCGGTACGTTTTTGGGCAACTGCGCGCTGCATTGGTTCGCGAATGTGCCTTGGTACCATCGTCTCCTTGTAAAGATCCAATTCCTGTGCGAGTGTTGTAATTCCCTCTGTAATGACCTGCCCAAACGGTCCTCGACAGGGGCGCCTCTGTGAATCGATGCTTTGTACCAGGTAACTTGGCGAGCTGGCACTCTGAAGGTTGCCGGTGCCTGGCGACCCACACATGGTTTGGGTCTCCAAAAGTGTTTGAATATATGTTCGATGGGCAGGCAAAAAAAAAGCACTGGTTTGTAAAGGTCTTCGATGAAACTTACAAGAAACATTGCTGTTGGCTGACGTAAGGGACTTGTCAAGAACCGCAATGTCACCGTTGGTCGTGAGAACAAAGAGCTTATCCGCTATCCACGTCAATTGCTTTGCGGTCAAATTGATCAGTGTTGCCCGCGAATAACTTATTCTCTCCTTGTTAGACGCATTCCAGACTCCAAAAGCGCCATCTGCAAAAGCAATAGCAACCAGCACAACTGAATTATTTTTCTCTGTACGGGTATTGTTCGCACACATTCCTTCCCCCTTCGACACCGCAACGTGTATCGCAGGGTTGTTAAGGGAAACTGATTTGAATGCTTCCAGAGAAAATCCGAAACTCCCCAAGCTTACCACCAAAGGTAGCTTCATACCATGCGTCAGTATCAACGCTTCTTCGGTGGGCACACAATTAACGCGCGGAATAGAGCCACCAGAAAACAACGAGGTTACATCACGGTTTTTTACTACCCGGTCCTTGTAGACAGTCCATAAGCTCATCCCACCGTCTGTAAATATGATAGCCAGCAGTTGGGGACTGCCTTGGACACCAGTAAGGCAGGAGAGGAATGATTGCGGTGCCCACGAAACTCCCGCGACCCCCATTCCCTCAAATGTATAAATGAGGTCACCCTCTTCTACGCCCCACACTTCGAATGTACCGTCAAGAAATGTCAGGAGTAAAAAAGTTCCTGTAGCACTTAACGTTATTTCTTTCATGCGGGTAGAATCAGGAATTGTGGGCCTTCGAAGTACTCGTAAGGGGGAGCCACTGCGGCAATCAAAAAGTGTCACCTGATGAAAATTACGAAGTTGTGTGGACTTGTTTGTCACCATCCAAACAGACTCCCCCCAACGATGAGGACTAAGCAATATGATGCGTGTACCCCCGGAATGCACAATGTTTATTCTTCGAAGTGTCACATTGTGCATCACATCCAAAAGAACCATGTGGCCATTTTCCAGCGCGCAGCAAACGATATTGTCTCCCACCACACAGAGTCGGGTAGGCTTAAGAAGCGCAAAGGAAAAAAAACCTTCCAGTGACCAACGCCGGCGTTCCACCAAATACCGCCACCGTGCCACGGAGCCATCGGCAAAAATAACAGCAAAAAGATTGGCCGTCGTTCGAGACTGAACCACATTTGAAACCGTCTTGGAGACAATTCTCGCACCTCTCACGTCGGCAGATACAGTTGTTACTTTTTCCTTCTGGGAGTTGTACCAGGCGCAGAGTCTCTGATCGGTCCCAAAAGAATACAAAAAAGGGAGCTCTTGATAGCCCTCAGTCCATGAACTAGGCGAAGAGGAGAAAAGACGCCTAAATTCCACATCACTCTTCGTGTGCCACAGTACCTGTTCATTAAGAAGCAAACCCGTTTTCCAGTCGTAGGCTCCAACGGAATTTCGTGTTGCAAAATACAAAACATCTTCATGAGCCTCACTAAAAGTGGCATCCAAGACTGTTTCATGGCCGTCTTCGCTGTCGTAAACCAAATCCTTCATCTGCAGACCGACACCGCTTTTACCCGGTGCCGTTTCCAAGGAACCAATCACACGCAGACGATCACCAAGCACAAAACAAGAAGCCTGTGTGGAGCTAAGTTTGGACGTACACACACGCAGCGGAACAAAGGAGTCTGTAGGCTCAGTTCGAACAGGGAATTCAAACTCACCAAATGGTTCTTTACCCACAAGATGTGAATCGTACACAAAATTCGAGCCGTCTCTTGTCACAACCAATAGGTGTTGCTTTGCCAAGTAAGAAAAGGCATGTATGGGCTGGCTATTCGGTACCTGGATGCTATTCAGAACCACTCCCTCAGCCACATCCCAAATGGCAACGGCCCCTCCACGATCTCCAGTGATAAGAAACAACCCATGTTGCAAATAAGACGCCGGTGGTGGTTTCCACTGGACACATGTAACAGGCGCATTGTGTCCATGCAGTGTTTGGACTAGCTGCATGCTGTTCATGTCTACCAAAAAAACATCACCGGATCCGTGGCAGTAGGAGCTGTAAGCCAACAAATCTTGACATCCGTACTCTGCGGACTGATACGGCCAGTTTCTCCCATCGTCAATGGGGGCAGCACCAGCATTCAACGACGCATCCTTGCCTGGAATAATTTTTGCACCCAACACGCTGTGCATGCAATTCATCTCGTCCTTTTTCCCGGCTTCCTTCTCCCCCACCCCACCCCGCCCCTGTCCTTTCTGGTGTTTATGTAATTGTTTTTGTTGTTGTTGTTTTGGTTCCATTGGAGAAGCATAAAAATAAAAATAAAAAAAAAAATAGTCGGTAAGAAGCAAACAACAACACAAACACACACACACACAAAAAAAAAAAAAAAGTACTTTCCACTAAACCAATAGCTAGAACAGAAACTGATGGATAAAAACGTACACCCCACCCTCCTTCTTCCACAAATAATAATAATAACTCCCCCAGACAAAATAAATAACTATATATATATATATATATATGGTTATTTATCTGTCGTTTTGAATTAATTTAAAAGCACTCGCTGGCTGTTATATCCTTGCGTCTCAACAACAACATTTATAAAGCAAATATCCGCTATTTCCGTCTTTTTATGTTTTGCCCTTCGTCTATTGTTTACGATGACCTCCCCTTCCCCCAATGACCCAATTGTTTTTCATCACAAATTTGAACGGTATTCAAAATTGTAGTACGACGGCCGCACGAGTTCTTCAACGGCTTTATCGACAAAAACAGCCAATTCCTTTTCGCGCGAAGGGTCCTCTGTAATGAGTTCAGCGTACCACTTTAGCTTTGGCTCCGTTCCGCTGCCCCGAATTGTCATCGTGACACCATTATCAAAGTAAAAAGTTATGATTGGGCTCGAGGCCGAGATTGGAAGCGTTGCCCGCCCGTCCGGCATCTGGGTGTCCAGTCCAGAAGCCAAATCACGAATGTGCAGAACGCGAGCACCTGCAACTTCCTTTGGATAGGACCCGTTCTGCATTTTTGTAATTGCGCCAAACATTTCACTGACACGAGCGGGATCCCGGGCAATTACATACGAGTTGCACGTGAAATGAAACCCATATTGTTTAAAAATCTCAAGCAGTTTTTCCGAGAGCCGTTTCTTTTCCTCCTTCTCAAGGAAGGCGATCATGTCGGCCACCACAGCAGCAGCTGTTACGCCGTCCTTGTCAAAGACACGGGTCCCACACATGTACCCAATGGCTTCCTCAAACGCCAAAACAACGCGCGCGGACGATTCCCGCTGGAGAGACTCCGCCAAACTTCCCATCCATTTAAATCCTGTAAGCGTCTCTGCGTAGTGCATTCCCTCCTTTTTGGCGATGGAACGAAGAATCATTGAGCTGACAATACTAAATATAAAGTAGCAGTTTTCCAGGGGCTCCCCAAGGCGACGAATTCTGAAAACAGTCCACCAACCAAGCAGAGCGCCCAACTCATTCCCACTGAAGATACGCCAAGTTCCGTCCTGCTTTCTTTCAGCGACTGCGAGTCGATCCGCGTCAGGATCATTGGCCAAAATATAATTTGAGCCCGCCTCCGCCGCTGTCTCCATGGAAAGAGTAAGAGTCCCAGCACCCTCTTCTGGATTTGGAAATTTTACGGTGGGGAATTCAGGGTCGGGCTCAGCCTGTGCCCTCACAACACTTATGCAGTGCCGCGGGACTCCCACAGTCTCAAGCGACTTCATAGTAAAAGGGCACCCCACACCGTGTAACGCCGTGTAAGTCACTTTCACAGGATAGTTGGCGGCTAGTGGTTTGTATTCTGCCTTTAACGTGGCAAAGTACTGATCCCAAACCTCTTGAAATGGATCACTTACGCCTGCTGCGGCCTCCCAGGAAGAATCCAAAGGTGTCAAATTTTCCAAAATGAATTTTGAAATGTTTTTGTCATGGGGTGAAATAATCTGTGCGCCGTTGCTCCAGTAGACCTTGTACCCGTTGTATTCCTTGGGGTTGTGGCTCGCAGTGACCACCACCCCAGCCACACAACCAAATAGACGAATAGCAAATGGAACAAAAGGAGTAGGTACCACTTGACCAAAGAGACGTGTGTTGATGCCAGCGTTAGTAAAAACGTTAGCAGATAGCTCTGCAAAACGTTTACTGCCATATCGACCATCGTATCCAATCACCACTCCTCCTGAAGAAAGTTTTTCTTGGGTAAAGGTCGCCCTTAGATATGCGCTCAATCCCTGTGCAGTTTGGATGATCGTTAGACAGTTCATCTGGCTATTCCCAGCGCCCATTTTCGAGCGAAGTCCTGCGGTCCCAAACTCCATTCGATTGCCGAGGAGACTTTGTAACTCCCTTGTATCCCCGTCCTTCCAGAGTTTTTCAATAACACCTCGTGTTTCGGGATCCCTGTCCCATGAAAGCCACTCTTGAACGCGCTTCTCAACTGACATGTTCTTTTATTTTTTCCTTTTTATTTTTATTTTTGTATGTTTGTGTAAATGTGGTATATGTGCTAATTCAGGTCTCTCACAGCTCTGTTTATGCACACAATGTATTGAGTTGCCTTTTCTTTCGTTTATAATTCCTTCTGCATGCACATGCCGACAGGCAACACCGCACACTCCCGGAAGAAGAAAAAGAAGAAGAAGCGCATCGCAATTACAAATCAATAAACTTCCCTTTTAACCCCCAAATACAAGCAATTTCAACCCATCTTGTTGTTGTTTTTCTTTATTCACCTCGTCTCTGAATAAAGTCACAATTGAACGGTCCCTGCAATTTATGTTGCAAAATGCAGTAGGCAAGGTGAATTCTCGGGCAAGAAATGGAATAAATATATGTATATATTATTATGCCGCAACCCGAGATCAAGCCAGGGAACTTCAGATCTTCAGTCTGGGGGGCTCTCCCAACTGAGATATCGCGTCAAATATTGCCTCACGCGTATCTCCTCCTCCTCTCACTCCTTTTTTCCTTCACGCAGCCGATCCAATAGGGCGGTAGCGGAGCAGATTCCCTCCGAGAGAACCACCGCGCCGCACAACGCTGTTGCCGCAGCCATTCGCACCTCCTCAGGTGGAATTTGGCCACACGGCTCAAACATGGACTTTTCATAGAGCAGGAGATCCTCCACATGAAGCCCGCTAGGAATCCCCGCAATTTCCTCCGTCGCTAGAAGCCCCGCCATACCGTGCACAGCCGCAACCTCTTTCAGCAAACGCAAAGTAGATGACCCTGTCAACGTCAATTCGATGGGCATCGCCACCGACGCACGCACCGATCGCGAGCTCACATAACTTGGATGTATGAGTGCGCACAGAAACAAGTCGTTGGTAAGAAGTTTCTCCCTTGGAACGACTCCCTCAAGCGACGTTTGCAAACGCGTAGTGGAGTTCCTTACCCAATTCTCCGGAAGTTTCAGGGCCGCCTCATGAAGACGGATCCTCGACGATGTCTTGAGAACACCATTTACACCAAAAAAAGTCGTTCCCTCTGAAACCGCCACCTCCGCAGTCTCCCTCAGAAGCTGCAGATACTTTTTTCGGTTCCTCGTGGCGGCAGCATTAAAGCCCCGACTAGTCATCAAACAAAGAGTGCTATGCCTACCCGTCGTAGGATGCAACAAATTACACAGTCCACAATATGCGTGTGAGCAAAAAACACCACCACCACTACCCCTTTAAAAGAAAAAAAAAGAAAAAATACAAAAAATTCAGTGGAATGCATAAAACAAAAAAAGAAATACAAGACCGGTGGCGGTATTCGTCATTTAAATTCGCAACAGTAAAACAGGGAATTAAAGCACCAGCACCGTCGCGCTTGGTGAAGCAAGCTCCCCTCCCATACAAACACATACACTCACATCCATCGATTTTTTTTTTTTCTATATGAATAGATCCAAGAGAAAACCACGGCATTGGAAAACCCAGTGGAGCTAAGTGCAACTTCATGGTAAGAGGAAGAAAAGAAGACGTCACGGCTGTCCGCCCAGAGGGTATACTTCAGTGAATTAACCCACAACAATTGGCATACGGGCTCCGTCTTCCCCTCGCAGCTCCCCTGAGACACACATACACACACACAAAAAAAAAAAAAAAAGGAAAATACGTGTGGCACAAAAAGGGGGAAAAACATAAATTCGACTCTTTCCACCCACCCACTAATAGAGTAACTTACGGTAAAGTACGGAATCACCCTCTTCCTCAAGATCGGCGCGCGTTACCCAAAGCGATGCAAAGGAAGAGCTCGCCGCTGCTAGGGAGGCACCAGTCCAGGCCCCATCCACTGCACCAAAAACATGGAAAGAACCCTCCTTCTCATAGCGAAAGTAGCACGAGTCCTTTTTCTGTGCTTCCTTTATAATTCGATCGCAAAAACCAGGCGCCTGTGAGGTTCCACCGCAAAAAACATGCGGAACGGCTTGTTGCAGCCACTCAGGATCAAGCCTCTTCTTGCATGACACAAGTAACTCTGCCAAGGAAACACCAAAGCCAGTTGGTGGCGAGAAGAGCATCTCGTATGGCTCAGTCCGCGCTGATGCTGAAACTGTGACAGAATTTCCATCGGGAGCACGTAACACCAACGGCTCTTCCTTTAGAGAAAAATTTGAATGCCCCACTCGTACAAAACACGCCATCCTTTTAATGTCATTCACCATGTCATCCAAAGCCCAGTTACGAATGGAAGGTACACGGTAGCGTTTTATACTTTCAAGTGACTCCAGTTGTTCCCTGTCTAACATCTCAATCAGACGCCCCGTGACGGAGCGTCCAGCAAGGCTGCTGGACGCAACAGTGTTCCGCAACGCATATCCATCCAGCACAGCCGTCGTTGTTGCTTGATTGTGTCCCACATCCAGCACAACGGCAGAAGTCCTACCCGAGGCTAACGTCCAGGCCACACTCGGCCGACAGCAATACAATGCAGATGTAAATCCAGCCTCCAACACAACACGGAACAACTCTCGCACCAAGTCAGTCCTTTCATGCCAGGCCTCAGGCAACACCAACATGAGAGGATCATCCTTGGAGCACTGAAGCTTATTTCCCATGATATACTCCAATTGTTCCACATTTTGATTCATGCCGCGCTCTAGTGAGCAAATTGTCCACACAGACTGAATAATATCCACTCCTGTGGCTTCTGCTGCCATTAATATCGATGGGAAACTAGTCTCCATGGGTCCATCATGAAAGCAAATGGAAGAGGACTGTCTCGTGCACCTTGCATCGCCAATGTAGCCGGCACGAATAGTCCATCCCACTTCCACCACTGCCATATCTTTCCCCTAATTTTTTGTGGCATAGAAGAAAATACATAATAAAAAAAATCCATGTTTCCAAGAAAGAAACGTTCACGCAGGCCATCCAGAAGAACACCCTTTTCGCTGACGGGCACAACCGACATAACAAATTTAAATAAATACAGGTACACGGCAACGTTTAATAATAATAATAATAATAATAAAGACAACAACGGGATTAATGTGAGTTCCGGTATTCCTACGGCGTGCATGTGCAGTAAGAATGCGATATGCAAGCTTTTCTCCTCCCATATCAAGCGCGAAAACGGCGAATTGAGGCAAACAGTCCCTTCTCATGGAATTGCTGAGCCAACTCTTCCGCCGCCAACCTGGTTGGGGTCCGAAATATAAGTTGGTCCGGCACCCCAGGCGTCTCTATCCCTCTCAAAGAAAGTGACTCCCCAATTTTACGAACCTCCGCCTCTGCTGTTGCATTTTCAAATGTCACGCACACCTCCCATGCAATGATGGGGCACTGTGCTGGAGCTCTTGTTGGATCCGGCGGCATGGGAACCACAGGCGGTGATGACTCCCGCGGTCTGAAGGATGTCAGTGTCGTAACAGACTCGGTAAATGATGAGGAGGAAGCCCCACCACTCGTGGAGGTTGAGGGTGTCATGAAATTAAGGACCTCCCTCGTCCGCTTCAAGTAGCAATGATGCAGAGCAGCTTCCTCATTTCGCATAAAGACGAGGCAACGCCTACACTGCATGCAAGGCACATGATACCGGGAGTCAACACGCAAGTCCTTGGCACAATGAGTGCAGAGATCCATATCGCAGACATCACAGTGGTAAAAGTATCGCGGTTCAGCCTCCTTCTCCCGTCGTTTTATTGCTTTTTTGCCTCTTCTCTTTCCTTTCATCGTCGCACCCGTTCCCTCCAGCTCCTCTAACCAGTCAGTAAAACCGCAGAAGTCACAGCTAACTCCATCAACAGCACCATATTGTGATCTTTCCTTGATACGCAGTTCATGGCCGTTCCAGCAGCGCCAAATTTCCTTCACTGGATCGTACAGTGGACTACCGCACTGGAGCAAATATGCCGTGTTTTCTGCCATATTTTCGTCCGGGTGACTCACCTCATGCAGAACATCTTCGGGTTTCACAGATTCTGTGCTATTTCCCTTTGATTCGCGGGTTATTTTATTCTGTGGAAACTGTTTCTGGGGAGTCATCTGTGAAATCTCCCGCTGCGGTGAGATGCTACGCGCTGACATCTCAATAAACCGCGAGATATTCACGGGAGAAGAAAGATACTTAGAGCTCATCCCCCCTCCACGTTGCTACTCGTAATGAAGTTTATTGAGTGCCCCCTGGAATTCTTAAAAACTCCCTCCCCCCTTCTTCTCTTCTATCCCGAGAGGGAGAGGGGCAATTTAAAAAAAAAAAAAAAAAAAAGTGCTAAAATTCAAACTGCGCACTATATTATATTATATATGTGTGGATGTATGTGTACTTCCCAATGCTGACTGCCAGCCTGGCGCCCTTCCAGATTTGCTCAATCCGAGTGGCGCCACACCACAGAAACTATCGCACAAGCAAGAAGAAGAATAATAAAATAATAATTAAAAAAATTGTCGCGGCCTGCCATCATGGGGATGAGGGAAAAATTCACAACCGCCTTTGACACCAACAAAAGAAGAAGACAGAACACACATCCGGGTGGAAAAAAAGCGTGGTAAAGCACTTTCACCCCCACACGTATAAAACCACCTTCCTCCCCAAACACCCAACCGCATTCGTGTGCTTCACTCTCAACTAAATCTCCGCCGCTTCACATGGAGGCGGAAAAAAGAAAAAAAAAACTCCACAAACAACAACGACAAAAGAAACTGACCGTAAGTGGAAAAAATGAAATAACATCCCCGTTTGAGGCGCGGGAGGCCAAGTGGATTCATAAGAAAAAAAAAAAAGAAAAAAAAAAAGGAACACACAAACACAAAAAAAAGAATTGGCTATCCATTCCTCCTCTTCACATACAAACATGCAGGACGAGAAAACAAAAGCACATAAACACATAAAAGTATATATTTATGTGACTCAGAGATATGCTAAAACCGTAAAGAGCCCTTCTTTTTTTTTTTTTTCTTAATTTAGTTCTTCACCCATTAATGCCTTTACCTTTTATTCACATAACATTATTTTGTTTATTCCCACCCCATCTTTGTTTGTTACGAACAAATAAAGAAATAATAGAACTGGAAGGGAGGGAAAAATAATGAAAGGGTTCATCAACTTTTGCCACTCTGATAAAGCAGCCCAAAAGAGAAAAAAAAAAAAAAAAAAGATAAAATGAAATATACGGTGACTCAACAATCAAAAAATATATATATATATATCTTTTTTAAAAAGTTGCTGCGTTAAAAAGAAAAAAAAAAATGGGAACAACAAGTGGGGGAAAAAAACACTGCCTTGTGGTGAGCCTCACCTCCACTGCAAAGTGGACTCCAACCAAATCCTACTGGCACCCCTGCCAGACGAAACGCACACTTACACACACAAAAAAAAAAAAAAGGATGGTGCAAACCGCAACTGTTTTGCTCATGCCGACACTCATCCTCTTCCCTCTCCACTGGAGTTTTTGACGCAAATCAGCGGAGAACGGGTGCGGTCTTATTGCCCTCCCAGCAGCCGACGCAAGTGAATGGAGCCGGTGGGCCGGACATTGGAGTTAATTCTTGTGGCTGGTTTTTGCGGCACCCTCAAAAGCGGCAAGTGAAGGGTGGCATTCTTCTCCCCCTCGACTTCTTGTTTCGTCAAAGCCTCCTTGCAACCATCGCCCTCGTCACTTGGCAAGCGCAGAGTGACTCGCACGGACTTCTTTTCTAATCCGTCATACAAGTTGGCGTCTCTCCCGGGCAAAATAAGACACGCCTCCTGCGTGCCTGGCTGCGAGACCATAGACGGCGTTGCAGAAGAAGAAGAAAGAAAATAAGAAGATTGCCGCGAGTTTGCCGAAGAGTCGTTAAGCTCATCCTGCCGTATTCTATTGGTCACAATGGCCTGTATGCGTGAAGGAGACCCTTTCACGGTGTACTGTCGGAACGTGGAATCGCCAAGGCGCAAGAACACATCGCGATTACCCGCGTCCTTTTCCACCACGGCTTCCTCCACGCGTAGCCTCTTTTGCTTGTAGCCATCTAAGGGTGAAAGAAACCACTGAATGCCCCCATCTGGTAGACGCTCTCCCACAAAATGAAAACTGCTCAGGGGCTGCTTCCCGTTGTCCCCGATGTCTGTCGATCGGCTGACAGTCGACAACGACAGCAGCCTCTCCCCAACGGCTATTTCCAATGGAAAAGCCATGCGCTCACCTTCCCAATCAACAAGTCAACCGTCCAGAAAAAGACAGGCAAAACCAACAGCCCTTGTGGCAACAGTAAAGCTTGGGTGCTTCCCACAACTAACTAATAACTCGTAGCCCACGCAAAAAAAAAAAAAAAAAAAAGCCATAAAAAACACAGCGACGACCAGAAGGACACAAGCAGAGCTGGAATTTAGAAAAAAAAAAAAAAAAAAAACACTTCGTGATTCTAAGAAAGGAAAACAACAACAAAAATAGTAAATAAAGGATGGTGGGAGAGGGCGCATATATGTATGCTCCTCCTGGCGTGCACTATCACAACTCAGGAGCCCCATCTGACAGATCACTGCGCCAAAATAGAAATAATAAAACCTTTCAACTGAACGTTACTAAAATAATAATAATAATAATAATAATAACTCATCGCTCATTTTATTTTCTTGCTGTTTTCGATAAATACGGTTTTCCTCATTCTCCCTCTTCTTATTCTTCTTTATTTTGAAGACCTCGTCCGCTTTTCAGTTCATTTCCCCTCTCCTACGTGACCCTTTTCCACTAACTCACAGCCCGATATTTTCCCTTTTGGGTAATGTCCATCCACGTCACTCCCACCCACCCATCCCCTTCTTTACTTTGCGCCACTCACGGAAAAACAGTCTTGACAGCGTCGACCACAACTTTGGCGGCATTTTGAATTTCCTCCCTGTTTGCCTTTCCCTTCACAAGGATCCGCAGCGCCGGGTAGTTTTCACATTGTTCATCTGCAGAATAAAGATGGCGCAACAGCATCACCTTCATTTTCCTTGCCGCCTGAACAACTTGCTCCAGCTCTATTTCCACACTCTGAGAGTGCTCCTTTAAATAGGCCTCGGTGGGCCGTAGAACCAGAATCGGAGACACGTCACCTTCGCACTCCAGCAAGCGTATCTTGTCTGAATTGAATCTGGCTTGCCGAAGGGCCTCGCGAAACAACTTCGCATTAGATTGCAGCTTCTCAGGGTATGTGTGGTCTTCATGCAGAATGGTCAGTGCCATGGAAACGGCAGCCGTGATGTAAGGTGGTAAGGATGCTGAAAAAACATACGCCGACGCGGCAAGACGCTGATGATCAACTAACTTTCGCGTCCCGGCACAGAATCCCCCAACAGCGCCTAAAGAAGTGCTCAGGCTTCCCACATACAAATCAATACTGGTTGCTGGAATACCAAAATGCTCGTGCGTTCCGCGGCCCGTTGGGCCCAGAGAGCCAAACCCATAACTGTCCTCCAAAATAAGGCGAAATTTGAATGTGTGGCACAGTTCAAGTATTCGTGGCAGATTGCAGATGTCACCGCTGTTCATAAAAAGGCCTTCTGTAACAACGAAGCGTCGAGACAATTTTTTGGCGGCAATCTCCGTCTCCGCAACTTTTTTTAAAAGAGATTCAAGATGTGTCATATCGTTGTGGCGGTACTTGTGAACGGTGGCGCGGGACAACGTGCAGCCGTCTGCAACAGCCAAATTAACACCATCGTCCAAAATAATGTACTCCCCCCTCCCTGCAAAGCATGAGATGATGGTTGAGACTGTTGCAAACGAAAGACTGCAAATGATAGCATCCTCCACACCAAGAAACTTTGCCAAATCTCTTTCAGCGTCCATGTGGGGTTTGATGGTGCCGTAGAATCCACGGGGTCCACAACTTCCAACGCCATAAGCCATCACCGTCTTCCGTGCCACCTCCAGCACAGTAGGATGGGTCGAAAAAGAATGAAAGTCCTCCGTCGCAAAGTCGATGCACCGCAAAAGGCTCCCATCGGACACGTTCCGAATGGTAACGTAACAACCCTCCCTGGAGTCCACCTCCGCCGTCCCCAATGCATTGGGCACCACGGCGTTGGAAGTCGTTTTGCAGTCGGCACGAAACATTTGGGATTGAAACTGCGCGATGCGAAGCTCCTGCTCCTCCAGTGATGGCATTTCAAAAGCGGCTGCTTTCGAATGATTTTTCCTCCGCCGCGCCTGCTTCCTCCAAAGAGCAACGGTGAGGGCGGCGGTAAACACAATTTCAATGAGAATGTGAAATGGATGCTCCACAATTTGCGTGAGCACAAGGGAAATAAAGTCACTCATAGGCATCTGTGTTCTATCTTTCTCTCTCTTTCTCTGTCTGTTTGTGTGTGTGTGTGTGTTAGACCCTCGTGTAAATAAATTATTAATAGAATAATAATAATAATAATAACATTTATTTATTTCTTCATATGACCAGAAACACTTCTACACACTCAATCACAAACAGTTATACATGCAAAGTATAGCATTGGGGGTGCGGGAGTAGAGAGAGATAATCGCCACGTATGTATAAATATATACAACAGACATAAAAATGACTGCATAAAGATCTATAAATGGAAACCCAAACAACAACAACAACAACGTCAATAAAACCCGACTAAAGCAAAAAGGAAGAAAGAAAGGCATTGTAATCCAAACGATGCACTCTGTAAAACATCAACCAGCGAAAAAAGTACACTTGTACAAGAAGCACTGTGTTACGTTTTTCAAGCTGCAACGTGACAACAATACGAACAAGCCACATTTTCCACTTTCCAAAAGCTCGACGCGCAACACGCCAGTAAGCTTTGTGCCCAATAAAGCGAAGAGATTTGCAGGTGTGAGCATATCGCCGCCAACGCAGCAAGAACCCCCCAACAAATCGCTCAAGGCTACACCTTTCCATATCCCGGGCAACAATGCGGCGGGAAAGAAGCAAACCCCACCTCTGTAGTGTGCATCGAGCCAAAGAACGGAAGGCTGCATACTTAATAAGCCCCAACTGTGTTGTATAAAAATTTCTTTGCCGCCACCGCATCCAAGTCACAAAGAAAAAATGTGCCAAATGAATTGTACGGGATTCCGATAAAACTGCCAATCTCCGGCGCAATTCAACCTTTCTTCTCGCCGCGGCCCGCCATCGAAGATATTGGCGCCTCGCCAAAGAGCGTTCGGCCCCATACCGTATACCACGCAAGACGAGAATTTGTCGTGACCGTTTCTGCCGAAGCTCAACAGCCATCCGCCAGAGTTTCAAATAACGAGATGCCAGTCTCAAGGACGCCTCCTTCATTAAAGAATGCTCCATATTTCTTACAGCAGCGCTGCGAGACGCAAACAAAAACCACTTGTAGAACATACGGAGGACTTGTTTGATAACGGCCCCCCTCTGTATGCCCTCAAGAAAAAACAAAATATTATGTTCGTGAGCAAATTGCCGCCACCTCTTCATGTAACGTCGCAGAAGGCTCAACAACTCTTGCATGCGCTCGAAAAAGAGCAAAACAACTGGTGTTGTTGACTCCTCTCTCAAAGATGCCTCTGCCGACACTTGTGACGACAAAAATGCGTCGTGTTTGCTTGTGGCCAAAGCTTCGCGCCCCAACAATACCTTGGTGGTCATATCGTCGGACTGAGCATTGGGGTTGAGGGGCTCCAAGAAGCTGCAGCCCTTCGTTGAGGTCGGTCCCCAGCGTCGAGAGCGCATCCCCAATGCGAAGACCCCCTGCAAACACTAAGTCGCAATTTTTATTTTTATTTTTCACCGTTTAAATGGTGCGGATGCAAACGAAACAAAGAATAAATAAATAAATAAATAAATAAACAAGACATTTGACCCAAAGGTTTCTCAAGAGGCACAACGGGTAAAAGAAAAAAAAGAGTTAAAAAAAAAAAAACTGTTTATTCCCCTCCGTCACCTTCCATTCAAGCATCCATCAAACCACCTTCAGTTTATGCGATGTTTCTTGCGTAGCCTCGGCGGCCGTCCCTCCAGAAAGGTAAGTACACTGCATGCAGCGGAGCAATAATCGTCCGCGTCCAACGCAACTGGCAAATTCGCACGCTCCTCTTCATTCTTCTTTGTCCAGCCCTCGACAAAGTCTACAAATACAGAGATGTCGTCAAAAAACCTTGCACTCGCAAGACCATTTTCCTCCTCCGCTTCATCTCCGCCTTCCTCAAGATGGGAACTCTTTGTTGGCCTCCGGAGAGCTTCAACCTTCTTCGAAAAAAGATATATATATTGTAGAACGGCATCCCCAATGGGATTGGGAGCACCGCACAGTGACTGGGCAACAAGGGCATGCAGGCACTTGAGATCCTTCGCGTGACCCACAGCGCCGTTACCGTACTTGCGACCGCCCGATGACTCGGGAATCGAAACAAAATGCGAATCAAAAAATGCCCACCGCTGGTCGCTCAAAAGTGATCGGACACGTTCTTCGTAACGTGCATGAGAAGCCACGTGCTGAGCGGCCACCCTCCCATTTTCATCTACGAGCTGCTGCAGTGCGCCGATCGCACCATGCCGCTCAAGTCGTGCCACAATGATGTTCAGGTAAGGGCAGGTGAGCCAAAATAGTGTGGCTCCCGCAGCGGCACTGCGAGCTTTGCGACCAACTTTACCAGCGGTTGAACACAACACGGCAGCGCCTCCGTGTAGCCTGCAGCTCGCCAACTCCAAATCCGCCACGCGGTAACTCTCCTGACTTGCTGCAGTCTCAAACGCACTTCGTTTATTGGCAGCCTCTAAGGGCTGCATGAACTGCTGAAAACAAGGAACTCCGTACACCTCCCACTTTGCGGCCCTTTAGTTCTCGCCACCTGCAGCCGCCCAAAGACGCGCTACTAAAAGAGAATCAAAGAAAAAAATTTTTATGGGCAAAAAAAGGATCGTGGATTTTGTCGCTTTTGGCCGCGCCTCACCACCAACACCAATTCGGCCAAAAAAAAAAAAGAAAAGAAAAGAAAAAAAAAAAGAAAGAAAAGGGGCACCTGACGGAAACTCACACAGGTACTGCAATAACATAATACATGTCTGGAAGCAATACATATTATAATCAAAAAAAGATAAGATAAAAAAAAAAAATCACCTTTTTCTTCCTAACACTATACATGTTGTTTGAAAAAAAAAAAAAAAAAAAAGAATTGCAAAGCCAATATATGCACCACTTTGCGCATCGTCGCTACGACTCGTTATGAGTCTCACCACCAACAGCATCCGCACCACCGGAGACGCCCATCGCATTAACCGGTTCCGCAGCCAAACCATAAATTTTGTTGATCTCATCTATCGTAAATTCACGTTTTTTTGGTACAGCCAGACGCGTCACGTACTCGCGTATCTCCGAGGACTTCTTCTGGACCATGGGTGGCCCAGCGTACAGGTGTCTTTTTTTGCTTTCTTCCAGATTTGCCTTCTTACGCTGCATAGACTCCGTATAAAGCCAGCAGGTACTTCTCTCCACAGTCTCCGAAGGCACCTTTAGCGGCTTCATCTCTTCTTGGATACGTTTCTCGCGTTCCTCACGTGCCGCTTGCCTCTTCATCATCTCCTGATCCACCTGCCGCATGACGCTGCCTTCTATTGCTTCCTTTGGGATTCGCTTTGACGACATTGTGGGATAAATGCGGGCGTCCAGCACCCGCAGTGTTTCCTGCTTGTGTGACATCGACTCGTCGTGAAGACGAGCAACCAGCCTTGCCTCCTGCTCTCTTGTCAGCTTGGCAGCAGCAGGGACGCCCCCGTCATCTGCATCCATACCTCCAAAAAATAATCCTGGCCACCCAACACCCTCTTTTTGACGTCAAAAAAAAAAAAAAAAAAAAAAAAAAGAGGGGGGAAGCTTCGCTCAAAAATAAATCTGGACCTCACCCCGCCTGTCGTCACCGCCAACAACAACTAAATGTCATCCCCATGACTTCCACTCACAACCAAAAAAAGCCGAAGGGCCCCCCCTCCACGGCATGGAGGATAAAGATGAGCGGGTGGGTTCCTTGCAAACAGGGTCCACTTTGTCAAAACAAAGGCCTCTCTCGCCCCCTAGCCACAAAGAGGGAGAAGTGACAGCAACAAATTTGCTCGTTCCCTCTCATTCAAATGAATACTCTACCAGTTGCCCTCCATTTCATGCCACAGGCTCAAATAATAATGAAAAAAGAAAGAACGGAATCCTCAACCGCCCTGGCAGCAAAACATCGTGGTAAAAAAAAAAAAAAAGAAACCCATAAGAAAAAAAACAAATAAATTTGCAGCAAGAACTTCTCAACTCAGAGTCGAATTCATCGCAAAGAAAGAATCCGTGTGCTTTTCCACCGCTCCCACGCAGCAAGAACGTTCTTGTCGAGGATAAAATAATGTGACAACGATTTATGCACCTTGGCATCAACATCCACCGCACCAACACGACAAATACTTGCATTTGGAAATCCAAAATCCACAAAAACGCCCCCATACAAGCTCTTCCATTGAGTCAGTTCTAAACGCGGCCGACTCCCCGTCGGCCCACCCACAGCAGACGAAGCCGTAGCTGCATCCATAGTATTCCCATTCAATAGCGATACCAACACAGACACATCTTTTGCCGTTGTCGAAGCGTAAAAACGATTGATGCACTCCTTTAGCCCCATTGGTGGGGCTATAAAACGCGTGCCGATTTCTTTAATTCGCCCTTCGTCCGTCCAACGTTCAATTATTCCACTCTGGCAGGCACATTCTACCTTCAAAGAAGAAGAAGAAGAAGCATCCGATTCACGCACAATCCATTGCACATCGGATGTTTCCCTCGCGGAACTCCATCGATACAAGAGTTCGATATCTAGCACTTCCCAGTCAGAATGACTGCCACAACCGCACAGTTGCAGATTTTCCAGCACCTTTAGAATTCCTGATTCATGTAAGGCTGTAGACAAATCGTCAAGATCCGCATCACTGATCTCACCCGAAGAATTTTCTGTGGAAAATAAACGAAAATTATTTGCCGGGTAACGAATCAAGTGTCGTATCCCCTTTTTTATTGAAGGTTGATCCCCAATTAGCAGCATGTTGGGACAGTATGCAGTACTTGAGTCACTTGGCGATGCAACTCCCGTTCCACGCCGTTCATATTTAAGTAACTGCATGAGAGAAAAACGACATTGGTAAAGTTTCACGGGATGAATGTAATATTCGACGCCATCCACAAGTATTCCAACCACACGCGGGGGTCGCCACACTCCCTTTGGTTTAATTTCCACGACAAGCCATCGTGACCCTCGCCCATTTCCTATGAGAACAGCTGGGTTGATTGCAAAGTTTGGGATTATATGGGCGTGTCCCGCACCCTTGCAATGCTCCTGTAAAGACAAAGAAACGGTGGCGGCACAACACTTCCTAAGCTCATCCGTCAGTAAAATTTCATGCCTGAAGCCGATGAAGTCCGCTAGGGCTTGGTCGCAGGTCGAACACGCAAAGGTCATTGCTCTGCTTAGCCGTAGAGCAACGCAGCCGATCAGCCCATGCAGCAGATTTCTGCCACTCTCAAATATCTGCTCAATAATCAATGCAATTGTCTCCCCTTCCTTTGTTTTTCCTTCTCCCCCACTTTCCTCGTTGTCAAGAAGTGAAAACACTGCACTACTGCACCCCATCCCGAGTAATCGCATTTTCTTCAGAAGAAAAAAAAAAAAAAAAAACAATAGAAAAATGAGAAGATAAAAACAAACATAAGAAAAAATAAATAAATAACAGGTGCGAAGCATCCGTGTGACGGTACATCCTCTAGCTAACCACCGCCACACGCGGACAGACAAAAACAAACAGAAAACCATACCCAACATTGGCACCCATAGTTAGGAAGGCAGGCCACACGTATGTACGTCGCCTATTACTCCGATTTTATTTTTTGCTGCTGTAAACTCTCCACCAACTCCACATAAGGCCTAACTTCAGCAGAGTTTCCGTGTGTCCTTTGCAACAACTTTAATGTGCGAAGAGACTCTTCCTTCGTCCAGTTGGCACACAATCTCTCCAATCTTTCTTGCGATGGTGGGGACTGAGACAGCAACTTAATGGCCTCAAGCCACTTCTCACTACCAAGTCCTGGATCACTCCACAACAGCACCTGATCCGGTCTAGGTCCTATAAACCGTCCCGTGTTTAGCAGCACCGTCATCGCATCATCGCAATCTCGCAACGCAAAAACAAGCAAAGATCGTTCAACATCGTTGGGCTGTTTTAAACTTTTAAAGAAATAAAGTGCGCACTGAGAGTCATTTGTAGATAGCGCGGCACTTCGTAGAAGTCGCGACATGATGGCAGCCGGAATCGGCATCTGTAGGGCTCGACTCAGCCGGTGGTAAAGGAAGCCAACGATGAACAGCGCAGCAAGGGGTCCGTCCTCGCGAAGAGAAAACGGAATACTCTTCCTTCCCTGCCTCCCCCAATGCACAAACTTGGGATCCTCCACCACTTGATTAAAGAGTCGGCGAACGAGAGACCAAACTGAGGCTTTTTTCCACGCCTCATCATCAAATTGACGCAGTGCATTCTTGAGAAAGACCAAAAACGGGCGGAGGTATGTTGAACACCTCCTGTACTCAGTAATCACAAGTGCGTGATAGCGAGCCATGGCCTTTATGGATGTAACAAGATCTCCATGCACAAGTGCATATTGGTGCAAAAAAACGCTGTTTAGAAGAAATGAGTAAGGAAACCAAGAAATTATTTTACGCGCAACGTCTAAAGAAATAGATGGCTTCGTACAGACGAGAAGAGCCCAGTGTTCTTCTACCACCTCCCCCCGCTCCTTAAGGTCCGTAATCGCTGTCAGTGCTTGATTCCATGATAACAGCGGAAGTAGTCGTTGTAAACCATGTTCATCCACGTCCAATGAACAGAAGGAGGAAATGTTGGCGGCCCTCACAACATACTGCATAGAGTCTGAAGACTGAAGCAAAGCACAGCATGCCCCTAAAACGCGCCGTCTCCATAAAATTTTTCCTTCATCAACATGAGAATTAATTCTGGAGGAACAATGTATCAGCTCCTCCTGGGCCAACCTAATATAACCCTGAATGAGATCTTGTAGAAGCAATACCCACTGACTCTTCGCATGATCTTTCCATAACATGTTTAGAGCCTTAATTGCCAAAGATCGTGGAGCCGCATATGCCACAACTGCAAAAGACTCGGGATATGGCCGGTTTGTTCGTTGGAGTAAGGAAATCGCACGCTGCCACCGTCCAGTCAAGACCAAAGCATTCATGCTTCTCTCCAAAGCCTCAGGATGTGTCATCAGATGTTGTGAGGGGGTAGAAAGGGCAATGCGGGTTGTCACAACGGCGTCCATGCGATGAAAATACGTGGCTGCTCGCAAAACCGCCAGTGGAAGCGCGTGACAATCTGCTGCGGCCAAACGCACCTTTCCACTCGCAAGACAATGCGCAATTTCCCGAAGGAACACCTGTCCTGTCAACTTCCCGGAAGCTCGAAGATGCTCCACCATCATGGCGCAGAGCATATTACAGGCTTCTCTCTCCGACACAATCTCATTGGAGGAACGAAATGTCATGTAGCGTTCCGAAGTGTACAGCTCGGATGCAGGTATTTCCTCCACTCCAAAATGATGCCGACGCAAAACGCGAGGAATAACTTGCATGAAGTAACGCTGTGCTTTTATGCCAGCACTGCGGCAAACAAGTCTGGAAATTTTTTCACTCTGAAACGTAAAACACTGCACCTCACACTTTTCTTCTTCCGCACCATCCATCGCTTTTCCGGCCGCGTTGGGGGAAAGTAAACTTTGTGCCAAAATCAACGATCTTAGCCGATTATTCGCATGTAGATTTTTTAGCCTCGTCCCGTCTCCATGCAGGGCCACAGCCAATTGCTCCTCGAACGAGGCATCAGCCGATACAATCGTAGATAACTTGATGCGGTGCACCGCCTCTTCGTACTTCAGCAGGCTGTGAGGCAGGGCAAAGCCGGAAGGTGCATACAGCGCAAGCGGCAAGGCAACGTCGTAGTAACAGCAGCCACATAACAACCCAATGGCCTCAGCCCAACACCCAGACTGAACAAACTTGTATGCTCTACGCGTCAACGTACCAGAATACATCACCTCCCCAGCGGGACGTATGGCAGTGGCGTGCAGTTGCATCAATTGAGGATGATAAGACGGAACAGTCGTGAGAATAGATCGAATCAGACTGTAATTATTAACACGTGCTTCAGCACAAAGACGCAATGACGCTTCCCATCCCATCGCAGCAATACAATCTGGGCGAGCAAGTAATGCGCAAATCGCCTCAGCGGACCCCCATCGTTCAAACGTCCTCAGCGCATAAGACCAGTGTGGAGCGTAAGTAATTGCCTCGGCCACGATGTGCGGTTCCATCGGTACTACACTCGCAATGGCTCTCAACCACTGGCTCGCCTGAAAGGTGTAAAACCGGAAGAGTCGCTTCGCAGAAGGACGGATCTCACGTGAGGAATTCAGCACAGACAACGCAACACTCCACTGGCCTTTTTTAGCATGTAGCATGATGTATTCAAATGCCAACGCCTCCCTTTCTATCCTCGATATGTCCTTTGTACTCGACAGTGCCATGACCCGGCAACATTGAAGCGCAACTTCCGGTTGGCTTCCCCCAAGGAAATAACATCGCATTAACACCTGTGGTGTCACAGGCAACACATCTCCTAGATGTGGGCGTTCCCGCACAGCAGCATAAACAACGATGGCGAATTGCACTATGGTTTCAGATACTAAAAGACGCGCGTAAACACTTGACAAATCAGTTGCAGGGTGCCAAACGTCAGCCATGAGACACGGCAGATGATGCCCCGACCCCGAGCACGTGAAACCTTCCTGGATAAAATGCCTCTGGTCCGGTGAAAGCACGGCCCATTGAACATTCATCAGCGCCAAACAGTCGGCCCAATGAACGTTATGCCGGGCAATTGTTTTCCAAATCATTTCCGAATTTCTCTTTGAAGCCAGCGGCGAATTCCCCGGCCCATTTGCAGAAAATCGTGCCGCATCAACCGTCTTCTGTAAGAGCTGAAGTGCAGCCCGTCTTGTCAGTTTCTGTCCACTGTGAAAGTACATCTTCCAATGAGATAGAAGATCTTTCCACTGCCACAGCCACAATGTGTGTCGCATTTGGTATTTCCGCACACATAAAGACTAATAAGGCAGCACAGAAACAAAGACTGAACCCGCAAAAGCAAGAAACAAAAAAAAGAGAAAAAAAAAAAAAAAAGAAATGGGATGTAGAAAACATGTAACAACTATTAATTGACGAGAGAACATACACTCATTTCCGCCTCCCTTTTATATTTACCACAACATAAAGTTCACTTTTTTTTTTTTCTTTTCACTCTTTAAGTGATAAATTCGTTGGGCTTCCAGCGCCTGATAAATTGGGGATCCGTATATTTCCAACCCCTCACTACTGGATCGGACCAACAAAGCGGCCTTGGATTCTTCTCCCCATGCGGGTGCACGCTGTCTTCATACAGCCACGCCTTTTCCAAAGGTGCCACACGTGTCTTTAATTTACGAACAAAGTGACGATTCACTTCGTCTTTTAAGAACCACCACATCAGCATGCAAGGATCCCGCTCATACATGTCAGTAAGACGAATACGATACTTTCCACCTGGGTAGGCCGTCTGCCAAGTGATGGGCACACGTATCCACTCATCTCCTACCATAACCACGTCTTTGATGTTGACAATTATGACATGATCACCGGATATCATTCCGGGAGTGAAGTCTGGTCGATGTTGGCCCGTGATGTACTGCGCTGCTACGGCCGCCACACGCGGGAGTTGCTCACCCTTGGCGTCAAGAATCCACCAACGCTCCCCCTCCCGACACAGCCATTGCTTGGACATCTCATTGTAAAGAGGAAGCCCCTCAGGATGATGCTTGTGGCGGCGCAGTACACTCTTGAATGGCGCCGCAGCAATTCTGCTCGCCCGGTGCATCTTTCTCTTTCAGGAGAACTAATGTACTTCCTGTTTCATCCAGAGACAACAACAACAAAAAAAAATAATAATAATGCCACACACACAAGCACATGGATGTTCACACAGTGCGTAATTGTCCATAATAAGAAAGCAAAAAAAAAAAAAAAAAAAAAAAAGGCAATTTTAACGGACGGGCAGGAGCAGCCCATTCTCAGAAGAACCCCACAAGAGGACATCTCCCCTTGTCGCCATATCTCTATAGCTGTGTCTGAGGTTTTGCCTTTCTGTTTTATGTTTTTTGAATGTTCTTTTCTTCTTTTTTTTTTTTTTGCTTCCCGCCCGCCGTTTCCTTCACATTCCCCCCACTTACACCCACACAAACACACGCCCGCCTCCATTATTTACCTTCGTTTCTTCGTTCTCACTTCATGTCCCAAAACACACTCAGAAGACCAAATTGTCATTTCTCCGCCGGCCCCTTTTCCTCAATTCCTATCATTCACTACAACGGAACAGGAAAAAAAGAGAGCACACATCCACAAGCATATATATATATATACATATGCTTGCCGGCACCTCGCGCTCCCTGAAGCACATTCACTCATCCTTCATCCTTCTCTTTTCCTTTCTCATCGTAGAGCAAGGAAACAAACAAAACAGAGGTGTCGAGCCCTCATACTAAGGGCGGTTAAAGTAGCAAGAACTATTGATCTGGCCCCTTGTAAAAGCGAACTACTGCAAAAGGGAGGCAAATGCATTAATAATTTCCTCATTTTGCTTCTTAAAGTAGTCAATATTGGCCTCCTTCCCTTCTGCGGGGTCGCGGAACTTCATCTCCGTGAGTCCATTGTAAATATGCGGTAGCTTCTCACGGATGTAGTTCCACGTGATTTTGTGTTCGCCAGCAGACTCGGCCACAACACGCTGGCCCTCCTCGTAGAAGGTGACAATGTTGCGCAGCATCCAACACGTTTTATAAAGTGGGCAAAACTTGTCGTAAGGGGTAAAGGCGTTTTGCTGGAGGAACTCCTCACGAATGACCTTCGCCGTTTCCAGGATAATTTTGTCCGACTCTGAAAGAGAGTCTTTGCCAACAAGTTGAACGATTTCCTGCAATTCCTCTTCACGTTGCAAAATCTCAGCGACAACCGAGCGCAAACGCATGTAATCAGGGTCAAAGGTATTAAAAAAGGGTTCCAGCACCTTTAAGTACTTCGAGTACGAAATAAGCCAGTTTACTGAGGGGAAGTGTTTACGCTGCGCAAGGCGTTTTTCCAGGCCCCAGAATACCTGCACGATACCAAGTGTGGCGGATGTTACCGGATCCGAAAAATCACCTCCTGGTGGGGAGACAGCACCCACAATAGTGACGGATCCTTCACGTCTGGGACCACCAATGCATGTGACACGACCTGCACGCTCGTAAAAAGAAGCCAAACGGGCACTGAGATATGCAGGATAACCCCCATCAGCAGGCATCTCGGCCAAACGACCAGAAATCTCTCGAAGAGCCTCTGCCCAACGGGAAGTGGAGTCCGCCATCATGGCAATATGTTTTCCCATATCACGATAATATTCGGCGAGGGTAATACCAGTGTAAATAGAGGCCTCACGAGCAGCCACAGGCATGTTAGAAGTATTGGCTACGAGGCATGTCCTTTTCATGATAGATTCTTCACGGCCATCAACAACAGTGGTAAGAGTAGGAAAATCCATTAAAACCTCTGCCATTTCATTACCACGTTCACCGCAACCCACGTAAATGACAGCATCGCTGTTTGAATATTTGGAGAGGGCTTGACTAATAACAGTCTTACCACAACCAAATGCACCAGGAATTGCGCATGTGCCACCCTGCACAGAGGGAAAAAGAGCATCCAAGACACGTTGACCAGTAAGAAGGGGATGATTCCCGGACTCCTTCACCGCCACCGGGCGTGGTGTTCGCACAGGCCAACGGTGCATTAGTTTAAGGCTTCTCTTTGTACCATTGTGCTCCACCTCCACAATTTCATCCACGAGTGTGTAGTTACCAGAAGGTTGAACGGACGTAACCCTCCCTTGAAAATTGGGAGGCACCATAATGGAGTGATCGTACATGAGCGAATTTTCCACAACAGTTCCAAGAATATCCCCACCCGTCACCAAATCCCCAACCCTCACACGAGGCTTAAAGTCCCACATTTTTTGGTCGTTGAGTGCCTTAACCTGAACTCCCTTTGGAATAAATACATTTTCTACCATACGGTAAATTGTCTCAAGTGGACGTTGAATACCATCAAAAATCTCCGACATAATGCCAGGACCAAGCTCAAGAGAAAGCGGTTTTCCTGTACAATAAACCGGATCCCCGACTGTAAGACCACCTGTCTCCTCGTACACTTGTATGGTCGCGGTGTCGCCCTCAAGCCGAATGATTTCTCCCACCAGTCGAAAGGAACCGACCTGAACCAACTCGTACATTGCGCTACCGCTCATGTTTTCCGCAATAACGACTGGACCAGAGACGGCTTTTACGGATCCCATGCGATGCTCCGCCTCATGTGGGTTGTGGTCACGCGCCATGCTTCCTCCGATAATCAATCGAATCGCTTAATCCCTTAATATGTCTGTTGACCTCTCACACCCGCTTTTATGCCTCGCTCGCCCGTCGTTGCTTTGCTAGCCGGTAGTCAATTGGCTGGATGTGTAGACACACAAAAATTATATATATATATATATATATATATATATCTTTATACCCTGTTTGCTGTTTCTTTCTTCTTGTTTTGCCGCTTTCCGACGCAGACACAGCGCCGCATGTGCGCGGCACGCAACAGGCAAAATGTACAAGAGGAAAAAAACGAAGAATCATCGCCATCCCACCAGCAAAAGAAAAGGCGGTGGTGCGGTGAAACACCCGCATTCGTCACACACACACACGGGACAAAAAAAAAAAAAAAAAAAGTCAGGTGATTGGGGCCGAACTCACAAAAAAAAACACACACAAAAAAAAGAAAACCCACCGCAATCCCCTTTTCTTTTTACCCCCAAACACACACAAACACGCACACACACACACGGGACAAAAAAAAAAAAAAAAAAAAAAAGCGGATGGCTCTGTCTAATTGACTATAAAATTGCATCAATATCATTCCCAGGCCAAGCATAAAAAAAAAAAAAAAAAAACGTCCTCATTTTCTCTTTGAAAATTAAATATCATCCCGAAAAAATCGGAGGCGCACAACTAGAAGCATACATACATTCGAATAATTAAAAAAAAAAACATGGCAAAAAAATTTCAGAGGCAAACGTGTCTACGCATACATAAATACATACAAACAATAATAATAATAATAATAATAATAATAATAATAATAATAAAAGGTTAACAAAAAAAAAAAAAAAATCCATAACGCAAGCACACACAAGTACAAGCAAAATAATAAAATTATCCCTACAATAGAAAATTAGTCCGCTTTGATTGCGCCATAAATGGTTCGTACAAAATGGGCAGAAGCAAGAAAACCCAAAGTCCCCAGGGCCACGCATAGAACAACGGAGAGACCCATCATATAGATACAGTACAAAGCCATGGATAACAGTTGACGTATCTCAAGCGCTGCAAACAAATAGACAATGCTGTAAAGAAAGAAGTAAAATCCACAGCTGCCCGATGTCATAAAACTCACCCACCACCACTCGTAATCCTCTTCAGACAACATCGAGTATGTCACAACCACAGTAACTTCAGCACAAATAGCAGCAACGACAAAAAGAATAGCCGTCAGATAGCCAAAGTAGTGAAAAGGTTCCCCATTCCAAAAAGAGCCAAGAATATAGACAACCTCAACAAAAGCTGCAGTAAAAGGGACAAGTCCGCCCCCCAAAACGTAAAGGCAACGCTTATTCACGCTCTTCTCCGACACGATGCGTGGGATGCTGCTTACTTTCGCGGGCACACTCAATACCTCAAAACGAAACCCAGCAGAAAGCCCAAAAAAAGCCAAAGGGATTGGAACAACAATCCACAAAAATAGAACGACCAGGAGCGTCAAAAATGGCATAGAAGTACTGGTGTGTTTTATCCAAGTGATCAAGTTCACAAGAAGATATACGCACATCAAGCAAACAGGAACCAAGGTAACTGCGGTAAAACCATTTTTCCAACTCTGTTTGCGGAAAAATTTAAGCATCCTCCCTGCAACATACCCAGATATGCAGCTCGAAAAGCAAAAAAAAATGATGAGACTTGTCAAAAGATTTCCTCGTTGTGTTGGATGCACAACGCCCAAAACTGCTGCAATAACCACAACGCCGGCCATAAAAACCACCTGGCAGCCAGTAGCAACAAGCGAGGTGAAGAGCAAAGCGTTTGGGGGAGCGCGAAACACATCTCCACGCACAAGCTTCCACCCGCTTTCCTCCGAATTCTCTTCAGCCAAGTCGGCATCCGCGTAGCTCAGAAGGTCCTTACGAACAGTCCGCGTCAGAATAACCATGACAATTATTCCCAAAAAACTGAGTAACGCAAGGGAATTCATAATCGCCATCAAGTGACCCCTCTTTGATGCCGGATGCCCAGCACGGGCGTACACATCCCATCGTGTCGCCACAAACTCAATTTTCTCCGTGTCCAATTCCCAGGACACAGAATAAAAGTACTTCACATCCATTGATTCAGGAGTCGCAGGTTGGATCGACCCACCTTCCGCAGTTTCCGGATCCGGACAGCCAGTGAGTACATTCACTGAGCTTGGGACGACGTAAAACCCAGTAATTGAGAATCCGCCTTGCTCCGCATGTGTGTACGTCACTTTAAAATGCAGGTAGTTGTGTATGGTCGTCTTTGTTGATTCATCGCTTGCCGCAGGCACACCAAGTTGGTAACCAACCCGGAGATGTTGTTCGGTTGAGGCATTCAAGGGCCTCTCCAGCAGCGGGACACCATCAAGAAACATGTGGGCGCAATATTGCTGTTCAATGAGTTTTTGGAGTCGCTTCATTTCAGACTCAGAATACGCCACAAAGCACACCTCTCGGCAGGTAATGTTCTCCTCAACCTTCACGGAATACATAGAGGGCAAGATGCGGTTTCCAAGAAGGATCTCGCCAAGATTCTCGTGGATTCGCTCGTCCCGCATCCTCCGTTCATCGGGCTGACAGGTTTTCACGGAGTAGAAATTGTACGGAAGCAGGCCCCTCTTGGAAGTCAGTGAGTTCACGGTGATAGGAATCTCGGTCCCGGCCTGGTATATGGTGGGGGAAGAGAGATGGTCCAAGAGGGCACATGATACACCGGGCGCTGCAAAAAGCAGCAGCAATGACAGCAAGGCAAAATGACCCCAGCGAGCCATCAATCCGTGTTTCCTCCTTCCCTCCTTTTTGCCTCCTCTTCTTTCCTTTTCGTGGTTTGTTTCTTAGTTCTCTTTTACTACTATTTTTACCTTTCCGTAAGCGTGTGTTTTTTTCCCTCCACTCCACTGAGCCCCGTGGAAGAACAGCAGGGGAGGTGGGGAGAAAGCAACGACAGAAGAAGGACAAGAAGAAGGCAATGATTTCAACGGCGTCAAAAAATGACGACAAGAAGACCAATAAACTCGCCGACACAGCCCGCCATTTCACGGGGCCACATCCCAGCAACCTCAATAAGGAAGCAAGTTTTAAAAAGTGGAAAACAAAAATAAAAAACAACAGCCTCAGCGACAGATGGTTTTCAGTCAGTACGGGATCATGGCCTCGTACTCGGCAGCACGGCGGGCCAGCACCTCCACTCTCTTCGCGCGAACGATACCGCCGTTGCGGGAGCTTCTCTTCAAGGGAGGAAGAGGCTTGCCGGCCTTCTTCGCCGCCTGGAAGGCCAAGAAATCCTTCTGCTTCTGCTTGAAGGCCTCCTGGCAGCGCGATTTGCGCACGTGTTCGAAGCGCACGCAGATGCGCTTGCGGACTGTGCGGTTGCGAACCGGCTTGTTGACAATCACACCAACACCACGAGGAGTAACGTTCCAGACAATACCCGTGCGGCCGTGGTAGTACTTGTGTGGCATACCAGCGCGCACGGCGGAGTCCGCCACAACATCAACGTAGTCCCCGACCTTGAAGTTCGTCAGGATGGTGCTCACAGATGGAACGCCATGCTTGCGGAACTTTTTCGCAAAAAGGTGGCGGGTGCCACACTTGTATCCGTGGGAATGAACCATCTTCGGCTATACTTCAAAAAAACAGTGAGATGGAAACAGAAATCAAGAGAGTGGCCCGTGACGTATATGGATGTGCATACATAGGACACGCTGACAAACTCATTCCTTATGGAGCGCGGCGCGCAAACAATAGGACCAGCCACGATCCCCACGGAGTGCCACAACCACCGTGCCCCGTCGTCTTCTCTCAGTTACACGCCGAAATTAATGGCTATCGGAAAATCATCAACCACTACAAATGATTTAAAGACAAGTGGTCCACAAATTCTTAAAGAAATTTGATTACAATCAACAACAAATCATTCCCATCAATAATTTCTTACCTCTTTCTTTCTCCACAGTTTCCATTAATTCCACGTTTCACAAAGTACGTTCGCATACAAAGAAAGCGTTTTTCATCGGATAAGAAACAAAAATAAAAAAGTCATGCGCCTCAGTCCGGTCCTGTCTCCGTATCCTCACAAGGCAAAAGTAAGGCACGAGGATATCACAGTTTGTCTCGGTGTGCCCAACACCGAAACCCCAGTAGAATCAGTCAATTGCTCGTATTAAAAAGGAAAAACAAAAAGCCCTTTTTATTATATTTTGAAAGACAAAGGAGAAAGAAAGGCGATGCATTCACCGCCTTTCAACGCGGCATTACCAAAAACAGAAAACATTTATAGGTAAAAATAAAATAAAAACGGTAAAAATAAAATAAAAACGGTAATAATTGACCTCGTTACCTTGGCCGTAATCTGCTCGCAAATTCCTTCCATACGCTTAAAAGGTGGATAATCGAGAAAAGACGCACTTACAATGACGCCGCCCCAAGTCTAACTGTGGCCCTTCCACTTTTTGTACCCCAATTGGCCGTGGTAAGACCCTTCCCCGGAATTCGACCCCCCCTGCGCCCCCGTAGTCCCCACTTCGTTCGTAGCAAAAACCGACATCGGGAGAGCATCGTGGAACTGCGTGCGCCCC